TAAATACAAGGAATTTTTAGTTACTCTGTTTTACAGTGTTCTGACCTATCCTTCTTTGTAAGAGATAAGGCAGTGCAAAACTATCCAAAATAAAATAAATGAATAACATTCATATTCAGAACTGGTTATACTTAAAATTCATACATGTCTTTATCTGGCTCCTTTAATATTGCAGGTTAGCAGGCACTTTGTTTCAAGCTTGCTTGGCGAAACATCCATGACGAGGGATCAAGAGCACTAGTCATCCCCTTGGTACTAGGCCAATAAAAAATGATGCCTGGAAATATTCCTAGAGGACAGGTTGAACCATACAAGTTCCTCTGAGGCTTCGTTTGTAGTTTGGCAGTTTTCTGTTTTTGGTACAGTCATAACTATTGGATCTCCACTCCAAGGAAGGCAGAATTTGGCACATCTAGCCTGTATTTCTAGTAGCAAGTTCTGGATTCTCTGCCTAAGTCCTGAAATGGTCTCAAACTCTTTATTCCAAGAACTGTGCTTAATTCTGCTTTTCAGACTTGATGACAGCAGAAAGCAACGTGTGTTGCAGAGTTTCTGTTTCACTGGGAACAGCGTTTCAGAATAAAATTAGATGATACATAATACACTGAGTCCAGCTAGATGACAGTGTCACAACAACTTTGGCTGAGCTCTAAAAATTAATTTGGATTGATCTTGATTAGCACTTGGAGGGAGACTACCAAGAAGTCCCAAGGGTGTAGGTTAATCTGGGAAGTCGGAAACACATCTCAGAAGGCCGCAGTGGGAAATTGCGTCTATGTTGTTACTAAGAAGTGTCACTAGGAGTAGAACTTCACTTGAAGAAGACTTTCTCTGATAGCACAGAGAGGTTGGTTTGCCCCTCACCTTCAGTGTACCTGTCCAGTTACACCCCACAGAAGGATAGGAGATCTCACGCAATGTGAACTCTTGAGATCTCTTATTGTTCAACTGCATTTATGGTTGCACTGACTAATTTAATGCTGCAATTACCAGTCAGCTGATCGCCTTTGCGAGAAGCTCTCCCCCAAATTTATCACGTCTAGATATATCTGTCCTTCTTTACTTTCTTCAACATTTATAGCAGCCTACCCCATACATCACAAGGCAGTCTGCAGTGTGACTGCTCTTGTGGCTTGCATGGTAAAAGATCTAGTTTAGGTGAAACATCTCTGCCTGGTTACTTCAAGATAATTTGTTCTTACTGCAAGCCAGAATTTGTATGTTTTGTTTTGCCTCTTCTTAAACCACTGTGACAACAGCAATGCTTAATCATCTTTTAAATAAAGCTTTTGTCTTGCAGTTTATTAGGCAGAAGGTAACGTGTTTATCAGGTGCTTTAATGTAATTGTTTTAAAATCTTTTTTTAAAAAAATATGTATGTATAAATGTAAGTATGTATTAAAACAGTCCCTGCCAGGCTGAAACTATTCTGCTGGATTACAATCCCCAATGCGGCCGTATTTTAAAAAAGCAACTGTCTCAGTGATTTGCCACAGTTACTTTCTGCGGAGTGTGAATGTCTCAAATTAGAGTAAGTCATGGAGTACGCTGAGTGCCCTGTGACTATTCATGGCCTGGAAGAGGGATCAAAACATAGTTAAAAAAAACCAACTTAAATTAAAAAAAAAGAGCCAACAGCTTCTGTTTCTGCCTAATAATATTCTGCACACTGACCCTTGAGAAGTTGGCATGCATTAGTCCCAGTGAAAGTG